ACCATTCAAGATGGTCGGGGATCGAAAGTAGTGAATGGGACGCAGCTTCGCAAGTGGCATGATACACCCGAAGAGCGGCCGAGTAGACCCGCTGTCGAAGCCGACCTGACGGATGTAAATGAAAATCGATGGTATGCGAACGAGCTTTAAGGGGTGGAGGTGTGCAACGGTGATACTACTACTGATGGGGAGGCACGCGAGTAGTATGCGTTGTTCGTAGAATTTCGCTTTGCGTCTATTGAAAAAGGGAGATCTGCTGGGGAATTCGTGGAGCCACTTTGTAACATTTCCTTTTATTTGACCGACGAATGAGTGGAGTCAATGAATCTCCAGGAAAGTTCAAGAAGACTCGTTCGGGAGAAGATCGGTGTCCAGTTTTTGTAACTAAAATGCGCATTGGAGTTTTGCTTCCATGTTCAATGGTCTGTAACCGGTCAGTTTTTACTTACGAATAAATACCTCCGCAGCGAAGGCCTTCTTCCTTTCACTGTTAGCTACAGGTTTGTTATCTACGCTAGTACACCAAGATGTCGGAGCGAAGGCCTTCTTCCTTTCACTGTTAGCTACAGGTTTGTTATCTACGCTAGTACACCATGTAAGATGTCGGAAGTGATGGTGATTCTCGGGTGGACCATTTTAACTTACCTCATCACCAACACCCTGATATTTCCGGCGCAGCGCGATTGCTCCCTAACGGTTTGTGTGTGATAAATATGCTGGTGGTGACGTAGTCCGAGGACTCAGGGAGTAAGGCATGTCTGTAATGCGTAGTGCGGCTGCGGTGCTTTTTGAGCAGCGCCTGACTTTTCGATTTTAAAAGTGTTTTGACCTCATTGAACAGTGCGTATTGGTCACAGTTAACAGCTGGGCGATCGGAGTGTGTGGTTTTTAGGGCCCAGATGTTAAAATCCGTGCTTCCTCGAGGAAAATCAGCATCGCTGCCTTTATGGATATGGGTATACTGTTCACCAGGTGGAAACATCTTACTGCTTTCACACCTCCACACACACAAGGCGACAGCGCGGCTTTGCTTACAGCCCCACTAATATGATTTCTCGTAGTGTGGGGACTCGTTGTTTGTCTGGCTGCTCCCAATTGGCATTCATGATCTGGTTTGGTCTTTAGGAACCGAGTTTTAGCCAGTGCAGCCCGCTAGATTGTTGCAGCACCGAAGCCCGACCATCACGACAGATGACAGGTCGGATGTAGTGGGCAGGTAAAGCCCGGGAAGCTGAACATTCGCCAGTCTAACTCTTTTCTGACTTATCTTTAGTGCAAGGCTAAGAGAGCCACCTGTTATTGAAGTCATTACAGAGGAAGACATCTCAAAAGTTCAGTGCAATTCCTTTCGCTGGACAGAACACTTTGAAGAATGATTCTGCTAGCCCGAAACGCCCATAACAAATTTTGAAACCGTAATAGTTCCACAATGGACATGAACTGCTCGTTTCCAACAGAAGGTGAAATTAAAAAAGAAATCACACTTTTGAAGCGAAATAGCGTACTCCGTTCTGCCATTTCTCGGCCTGGGTAACCGATGAGTGTCATCTACCCGCACGGTCCTGCGTTCACCGATGCCACTTTCCTAACACATTCCCACCACACCAGCAAACATAAGATTGCCGTTTATTTGACCGATGTGCCTTATACCTCCAGCTGCCCCTCAGTGATTAGCAAAATAGCACTTTTCTTAGTCCACGAGACCCTTTCTATCTAAGTGCTTTCGAATTTCATACTCTATATCAAATTTGCAAACAGGAACTGCTTTCGGAAACCTTATATTCTTACAACTGACGTACGCTGTCTCTGAAACATGAGTGCAAGTGCTCGCTGTGGTCATGCACCTTAGAACTTCAAGAAAGAATTCAGCTTCACATTTCACTCCCCATGTGTCCGGTGACCCAGAAGCGTTGACTCTTGGACAGTGTGGCGTGGGCGTTGGACTCATCCACAGCGCTGAACACGCTTTTCTGGGTTGGATTCCAGTGAATAGTCCTCTTTGCCCGTTTGGTTGTCCAGCTCAACCAAGCTCCGTGCCTTTCGGCATTCATTCATGTTCATTTGTAGCGTCGGCGTATGCCCCAGTGGGCTGCAGCTCTGACGCCGAGAAAGTTGTTTTCTATCGAGATGTGCTTGGGCTCATTCCTCAAGCAAAGAGCACTGACATTGTGATTCTTTCAGGCGATAAGAATGCTCAGGTCGGTCGTCTGTACTCCTTGGAATTACATATGGACGGTTGACTCGGAGTCGAAGCTCATCGCACATAAAGAGTAACTCCTCCAGTTGTGTGCTGATTATCAACTGTTTCTGGTCAGTGCGAACTTTTAACCTCAATGTTCGCATCACGTGACATGCGGCGACCAAGTGCAAACCAACCGTTGAAATAAGCAAATCAAGTGGTTGTCAGCCACATGTGGGGAGCCACAATCCAAGACCTCCGTTCATTCTGGGGCACGCAAATTAGCTTGAGAGGTTTCCTTGCTCCAGCATTGCCCCTGGTGCAGGCGTGACATAAGCTTATTTGTCGAGGGTCGAGTTTACATTGCTGCGGCGTGCCCCATATTATTATACTAGTCAGTGACCTGACCACTGCGCGCTGAGGACTTCAAAGGACTCAGTGTTTGACCACAGATAACTTCGGATCGTTGCCCAAGTCCTGTAGAAACATCGGATCACTAATGCTAAAGTAAGTCGGGCAGAAAGGAACTGAACGTGATTTAAGCTCAGTTTATCTACCGGAACTATTGATCGTGATAGCCTTATTCCTTGACTTACTGCATAGTAGCATGATCTGAATCTAGATATGGGGCGAGATGGCTCAGTGGTTAGAGCGCGGATTCACTGACCGGTTCGGACCCGACCCCTGCATATAGACTTTTGTAGGCTTGAGCAACCTAGCAGTATCCAAGCCCTCGTGCTTGATGGAATGGCACTTAGGCTCTCAAAGGGTGTTACAGGTGAACACTTATTATGTATTATCTGAGTCTAGATATACAGGAACAGAGGCTAATCGTGATGTTGAGCCGAGCAGTTGGTCCTTAAGTGATCTGAGTAACCTTTGTCGTCTTCAACGTTATATTTTCCGGCTACTACTATCCCTTTAGTCCACTGAGACTAGAATAAGTATCGCCCTTACTACTGCAAATATACGGTGCTTTTTGCGTATCAATTTCTATGGTTCCCGCATGCCGATAGTCCGTTATACCAGTTTTCCACTCGTCCCTTCCCACCAGACGATACCACACACAGACCGCTTGATCTGTCGTATGGGATGACTCAGTAACGCGAGCACGGCCATCTACGCAGTGCGGTGGAGCATGATGACTCCGGATCCACAGAAGACTCCAGCCAAACGTCCGACCTGTGCTTACATACAGAAGCTCATTTCGTATTGTTGCTTAAGGGATCAAGAAAAATTAGACTGTGCTTGATAATGATAATTGCTCTTTTCCGCCTTATGTCCTGTTATGTACCACTTGGCGATGAAGTGACCGTAAGTAAAAATGTGCGGTTAGGCGGCATGATACGTAAGCTCACAGTAACCTTAACTAGACGGCTTGGTTAAAGCATAGGTTTAATCCGCCGTGGTACGTACCAAATACCATAATCGTTCAACAATACCACCCTTTCGGTGCACAGCTGCCATACCAACGGAAGGAAGCACAAGAACTGGGATACTGCCAGGTTGCTAAAACCTAGACAGCAGCACTCGAGATGATGAGATTGGGTTCGAATCACGGACATTCCTGTCCGTAAGCTGGCGCCTTAACCCCTGAGCTATCTCGACCATAATGTATAACTACACATTGTCTAGCGTAGCCAAGCCATCGATGGGACGGCCGCATAGAAGACAAACGGATAGCAGCTCGACTGCCGGTATGAGCACTTGACTCGCATAGCAGTCTGTGTGCATTTTCGCTGGCTTGTGTAGGTGTGATGGTCGGGTTTAGATTGGCGCTAAATTCCTTAGAACACCACTCTTCAAAGCTAAGTCATCGAGAAAGCCGAGAGGAAATCTGCCAACAAGTGCAGCGAATCCCTGTACTCCGAGAAATCGTGTTCGAGGTCGACTTGGTATAAAATTCGGCGGATTTTTTTCTTCAATTGACAGGGTGATGGAAGTTGCGACGAGTTAATGGGATTTCACCCCGATACAATGCTTAAATCTCCATTCTCATGCTCTCTTAGGATATATGCACCTTATTCTTAATCATTCACTCTTGGAAATGAGATATTTTGCACAAGGCATGCACCCACTTCTCTCCACCTCATTGGGACATTCTCTTTCTGACTACCGATTATGCATCCATATTTCCCACTGATGCATGGCTCCAAGTGATGACCAAGTTGAACGACAAAAATACCTATCCGTGGTTCTTCATCACAAGCTTTCGTTTTAGATTACACCCGAACCTATCACAATGTAGATTATACGTATTTGTTCCCCTCGATAAAGAAAGGACAGGGATTTGGATAACATTGATTAGGAACTTTAGTACCCCTACGGTACGTTGGAATCTGAGTGTCGGCGGGGAGTTTTACTTGCGGTATCTCGCTTGCTGGGTGAGTTCCGTACCATCTAAGTTCCCGTGACACTGACCCACCCATGTGCTTACGCTCTGATTGTGCATTGTTTCACTACACTAGTGCTTAACTGGTTGAGGATCGATGTCAGTGTCATTAATGAGGTCTTTGTATGATTTCAGCAATGAGCAAGATGTCAGAATCGTCCGGGTACAGAAGACGTATTTATTTTAGTTACTTTAGAAGGGACAGGAATTTAAATTTCCTCGAGCCTACATCTCCAAACTCTTTTTCGCTAATTGATTCTGTACCTCCTTGTTGCAGCTTCCTAGTGGTTTTCCACCATCACATCTTGAGGATTCAAGCCTGCTACAACTTCCGCTTGGCACATTTGATTAATCAGTCACACCGTCGTATTTGTTTGGCGGATTTCGCTCACTGGCAAGTCCAGCTCTATTATCATGCAATGTTTCGTTCGCGACTTAAGAAACACTACCAGTAAGCTCTTTCGGGACGAAGTACTCCTTAGCTATGAAAGGCAGAACATCCAAAACCTGTTACTGGATGGCAAAGCGATCCATGAGGATATGCTCAAGCTACTATGGATTTTACATCGACAGCGCGTAAAACTACTTTTCAGTGGGCGGTTGGCGAAAAGCTGTGGTGCAAGAGTGGCTTGGTTTACCAGACTGCATTTTGATTCGAAATCAGAGAACTCAAGTTATTCCCACCATATAGAGATATTCCGTCACCTGCGGGACAATCCAAATGTGATAGTCAATCTCCTTGTCCTTTTCGAATCCAATCCGGAAATCATGGAAATTCTTTGCTTCCTCACGTTGACTACCGTGGGGAACTTCGCCATAAATCACCAGGATGTATCCTTTCTGGCGAACGTGATTCACGCCATTCAGCCACATTCACCACGTTTTCCCATGAACTATACCCCATTTGCCTCATTGTTCAACGTTTGTTTTTGTGACACGCATCAAGCACATGGATTTATGCGTGTTCTCCTGCATGATGTTGTGGCAAGAATATCTGAGTTTACTTATGTTCCCGATCGGCACAGCGGCGATGATGACATCATGCATGGTGCTTCTTCTGTGTCGCGTTCAACTTTCTATTCCGATGTGCGGTGTCTTCCGAGATGTTTTTCAGAAGAAGAGTTTTGTTTTCTGGTCAACCTACTGATTCGACGTTTTATCGAAGCCGTACCTCTTTTCCCACAACCTTTGCTGGTACTTTTGAAAATACATAGGCAGCGGTTGGCAAGCGCTGGAGACCTGGCTGTGGAAATTTTTTCGCGAAGTGTTGAATTCCTGACCAGCGCGTTCATGGTTCGTGCTATAGTTCAACCTCTACTCTATGGATACTACTCTGATCAGTATTTGGATCCTAGTGGTCGGAAAATTTTGCATCAGGTTGCGTCGGTAAGTGTTGCTATTTTCGTGTTCCTCCAGTCTTTTCCGCAACTAGAGGCAGTTCCATCTCGTAAACGCCAGGAATAGACAGTAAAAGGAGAACTCTTCACTGTTTGTGATCTCATTGCTAGCGATGCGTGATCCACTAGTCTTAGAAACTGGCGGTGTGGTCTATGCTAATGTCTCCTCTCGGTCATGGTCTACTTCCATCACACAATGCATGCTGTGAAGCGAAAAACGCCGGGGAAATAGCAGGTGTATATTGTTGTTCTTGTCTTGCAAAGGTGCCAGCAATCGCGAGAATCAGATTTGTGAGTCCGGGCCATTGATGCGTTGACCGAATATTTTCCTTGTCACAAATTCCGAGATTACAAAGTAGCATTTGACTCAGCCCGTCGCGCCGCATAGTGGCAATCGATTTATTCACCGATTGTTTACCGAACCGAAATCTACTCTGATTTTCTGGCTAATGTTGGTGAATATATGACTACCTTTGAAGGACAATCGTAAACCGATCCATATTTTGTGGGCAGTAAAAACGAGGCCCACTGTGTGTTCAGTAAATCAGATAACTTAATAAATCGTCATGGATCATCCACTTTTCAGAATGTTTGGCTACGGGAGTCCCTTTTTTCCTTTGGCGACTTATCGGTTATGTCAGTATTTCAGTATCTCCGAGTTACCTCCATAAATTACTGGTTAATTTATTGGGGATAGTTTAAGGGCCGGTTTACGGTAGATGGCACAAACTAACCAGCCTAGTGTCCTTTTAACAGTACGTCCAAGAATGCGAAACTGTCGTTGGTATCCTTCTTGTGAGACACAGCTACATTTAACTGAAGCGCATTAGCAAAATAAAAGAAATTAGCGGGTTTATTCTTTGGAAGTAGAACCCAGGATGTCCGGCGACGACAGCTGGAAAGATATCCGCGAGAGAGATGCCCATAGCAACGTCTTCAATCTACTTATGCAGTTTTCAGAACCGAAATGAGTAAGTTCGTTGTTTTTCCTAATCCAGCCACGTACACAGTTGTCAGTTTGACTTGATGACACATCAATGAAATACCACTGAAACTATTTTGGAAACTCATTAAGATTCTATGGGTAATATGATAGAGTTTAAGAATCTCCTTCAGGCAACGAGGCGGCAAGCTTCTCCGGATGTAATATCACACATCCACTAGCCAAATCGCTAAACTATGATCAGGAGAGTTGTGCATGTTCCATATTGGTCTCAATGATAGTGTTCGTATGTCCTTGGCGAGTCTGTTTGGAGTCTCAGTTAACAAAATTGGAGTAACTAATCTGGCAACACAGGTGTAGTGGCTGGCGGTCTTTTCGTGATTTATTTTCCAACCCGTTTTAGTGTCCAGCGTGAATTTTCTATCGTCTGACGTAATTGTTCTCGTATTAGGCAGATATTCTGTCAAACACATAATCACAATTCCTTTGTTGCGTTGTTTTTCATTGGTTGATAGTGTGCGGATGTTAAGCAACTTTTCTGGCATGTTCTCATGGAAAGTAATTGGTCTGATATGTTCACGGTTTTGCCTGGAAGGGAAATGCCTTGCCAATATCCGTTGACGTGAGATCCCTGACCTAATTTTATAGATATTCAGACCGAATCTTCCTCTTTTTGGGAGAGATCTTGAATTTTTCTCTGAGTAACGGCATCCATCCATCTACTTTACTACCTACCTGGGACTACCTTCTTTGTTTGCTATTTGTAGCTTGAGTGGACTCGATTCGTGCGTCAGCGGTCTCAAAGATTGTTTTCCTTACTTGGCATATGGATCCATAGTTTATCATTAACGTAGTGTCCGGATGAGCCATCAACTAGAAGAGTCTCTCCTTGATTGGATGCCTATTGGTAGCTGTCGTCTGATTGTCCGTTGGGCAGTCTGAAAAAATCTTGGTAGAGGAAGACCCATCACTTCCTATTTCTTGTATCTGCGCTAAAGGACTGTAGCTCCTGTGACGCTCCAGGTGTTTCTTCACAGTGGGCGAAAAGCCCACAGTCGTTGTGATCGTTGGTGGAGTGAACACACAAGTAGATAGGCTTGACGCTGCTGAGGCTCAGCTGGGTGGTTGTATTGGATTAGACACACTGGAGAGTGCCTACTGAAGTTATGTACTATTCCTTTGGGAGCAGGATACCCAGAGCTGTATATAATACTGGAACTCCTACGTGTGGCACAAAGCAGCCAGCCTCTTACAATCATTGAGTCTCTGATAAGACAGTGACTTTTCTGGGGGATCGGTGACAAATTTCTTCCGGTCACGAAACCCATCCGACAAGGCATATCACCTGACGCCAGCTGTTCGCGCAGACCGGGAAGTTTTGTGGATCCAGAAGTCCGAGAAGACGGAAGAAGCGGAAAGTGTTACAGATGTCTTCAAGTTGTTCCATTTGATTGGTTTGACGCATCCTCGCAGTCTTCATGCCATTGGAACTCAGGGTCTTCTTATGTTCGACAAAGAACGTCTGAACCACTGGACAGACTACTTCAAGCTGACCACATTCCACCTGGTCTGCCGGGTTTTGACGGGCTTTGGTGGCCCGTGAATATGAAATTCCGTTCAGACTCCAAAGTCTGAGTGTATATGTATTCTCAAGCGTCACCGTGCTCCCGGGCCAGACGACCTTCCGTGTGTTCTGTTCCAGGCTGGTGGCGAGTGCCTCATTCACCGCCTACATAAACTATTCGCGTCTATTTTGGAGAAAGGGGCGTTCCAAGACAACTCGGATGAGTCGACAGTAGTCCCAGTCTTCGAATGTATTAACCCAAACCCCCGTCGCAACAAGCTTTCGGAGTCATTTATTCTCGACATTTTAAGGTGATACGGTGAGTATCAAGCGAGATTTCGATCGAGCAGAGGCTGTGTCGATTATATCTTCGTATTCTGTCAGATTTCAGGGCCCATTCAAAGGTGCTCTCGATTTCGCAAACCCCCGAACCACGCTTGCTCAACAAAAGAACATAATCCGGTCCTAATATTCACATACTTCTCATGGTGTTTGTGTATACTTAGCTCTTTAACCTTCCTTATGTGTTGTCCGACAAGGATGTCCACCGTCTCCATTCTTGTTCAACTTAGTCATCGATGAAATAATGAGAACGCTGGAAGGTCTTCAAAACATCGATGTTCAAATGGTTGCTGATGAGAAGATTGTCGAAATTGTCCTCATCTTTGAAAGCTAAGGCAAGGCACAAGCCCTGTTGAATAGACTGACCACTGTCATACCGGCATGCGCCTCGCACCTTCAAAGTGCAAATTCATGCTTCAGAACTTGTAGTCTCCCTTACAACTCAAGGAAAATCACTGGAGGCTGTGTGGAATTTTACATACTCGGGTACTTGTTTTAGCTCTGATGGATGTTTGTCTGATGAAGTCAGCTCACGAATCTCAAAGGCCCGAATCATGTTTGCTATGTTGCGTAATTTGGGACGTCAAAAGGGCATATCACTGGGTCTCGGGGTTTTCGTGTTCATACTACAGCAAGGGCTGTATTTTTGTGTGATTGCGAGACAGCTGGACTCAAAGGACAGATGGTGTGAGGCGTCTTTAATTTTTTTTTCACCGCCGATGCCTCAGAAGTGCTACTAGTGCAGGACGTCGTCGACAAATTTATAATGATCTAATGGGAAAACTGCTGTTGTCTTCTGTTTGCGCGGTGGGTATTTCATCCGCGGACAAATCCAGTACCCTCAGTTGCGGTGACGACCGTGTGCCGAGTCATGGTCTACTTAGTTAAGTGTTGTTCTCCATGCCTTCTTCAGAAGGCCCAAGCCCGTGAGGTTAGAAACATGTGGCTTGACCGAATGGTGTGGAAGAGGTTGTGAGGGGTTTGGTTTTTTTTCACCGCCGATGCCTCAGAAGTGCTACTAGTGCAGGACGTCGTCGACAAATTTATAATGATCTAATGGGAAAACTGCTGTTGTCTTCTGTTTGCGCGGTGGGTATTTTATCCGCGGACAAATCCAGTACCCTCAGTTGCGGTGACGACCGTGTGCCGAGTCATGGTCTACTTAGTTAAGTGTTGTTCTCCATGCCTTCTTCAGAATGGCGCAAGCCGTGAGGTTAGAAACATGTGGCTTGACCGAATGGTGTGGAAGAGGTTGTGAGGGGTTTGGGTGTTTTTCTTGACGCTGTTCGTCTTCCAGGGCAATGTCCCCGTTACTCGCTTACCTGGAGAGGTTGCGATAAACTGGGGCTAGCCAGTTTTAGTGACGTTCGTGCTATTGATTTCTTTCCAGGTTATCTGGTTGGGCGTTTGTTGATTTGAACACTTTGGTGTTTGAGATAATCTGGCATACAATCTCAACTGGATATCGTCTAAAAGTAAAATCTCTTACGCGTCTGCATCGCAACAACTTAGCGACATATGGTCAATTTGTTATTTTTGTTTAATTTCCTGCGTTCAAATCGCCAACAATTTACCACCCACCCCTACTCTGCTCCAATGTTTTCAGGCTTTCAAGTTTCTAGCGCTCAACTGTATTCCTTCAGAACACACCTCCAAGCCTACTGGAACAATTCCAGAGCTTGGTGTTTCACAGGACATGCTAGTGAAGAAGTGTGATGTTGGCGAACTTCACGAAGCCTTCGAACGTATTTTTGAACAAGCAGACAAAATTCCTAACGTCTGTCCAGCTCAGAATGGTGGCACAGATGAGATTCAGCGACCAAAATTAGCGGACGGCTTCCGGAACAAGAGTCCACTTGGTTTACCGTCTTCTTTGACTGGTGAGATGAATCCTCCCCCCATCACTATCGTCACCGCATCCGATTTAAATATTCTCGTAAGTTTTCGGGCAAGTTTTTGATCACAACAGCAATGAGTTCGATTGGTTTGCTTCTTATACAACTTGATGATACCTTTCGACTGTGCCCCGGGCAGGTTGCCCTTTATTACTTCTACTTCCCAATCTAACTCATTCTCCACAAAGTCCGTGAGGACTGAAACTGTTATCGTTGAGGATGCGTAGGCGTGTTTATCGCTTACAAGCCTGCCTTTCATCCAATCAGTTGTTTAAGATCGTGTACGGTGCTGAAAGTGCACGCTTATGTGGACTGTCAGCACTAGCTACGCTCTCGTTTAATGAATGCGATGTGTGAATAGTGCTGCCAAAAAATCTCTCTTTGATGAGGTAATCTTTGTCACGCTGTCGTATGTCGCCTTACACGTCGTTCCGGTTTTGTGGATAACCTGCGATGTCTTGATGGTGTTGTTAGTACTACAGCTTGGACTACTACCATGTGACTACCACTGACAGCTAATTCCTGTATATCTCAGATGTAAAAGATTTGTTGTCAGCAGACAGTTTTTCATTTTACATGTACTCTTATGTCTAGACCAACTCCATTTTGCATTTGTGCAGCATGAAGAATTGGGTGTAGTGCTTTACACAGGTCTGAGATATCACTCTTTCACAAATTAAGCTTTGTTGTATTCTACCAGTCCTTCAAATGAAACACCCTTTCAGCGCTTAGCTGTCATGCCACCCGAAGGAAGCATGAGGGTGTAGATACTCCCAAGCTGCCCAATCCTAAACAGGAGCAGTCAAGGTGCCGGCGTTGGGTTCGAACCACGGACCTTTTGGTTGGTAAGCTCAGGCCTAACATCTGAGCCATATCATGCTCGTTGGATTCGCACTAATAACATGGATTTCGGTCTGGCAACTTTGGTGTCTTCAAGTGAATGAAACTTTTATTTAGCAACTACAGCGTGAAATTTTACCAGGTGATGGCTGTTATTGTCCACTGTTCTAACTGGTTCTACTTTTTAGTGGAGCCCAATTCGAGTGGGCGGCATTCATCTGCGTCTGCACGATTAATTTGCAGCCATGCATTGACAGTCTACGTGGACCCCATGAAGGATGAGTGCCACCGTACGCCAAGGTATTTAGGGACCATCCAAGTTTCTCGGTATAGGCTGTATGACACGGGACGAACAGTAAGGAAAGTTACAAAGTCATTGGAATGCCTGATTTTGTCCCTAGACGGGGTTCATCAAACATTCGGATGCTGTGGCGTATGCATAAGTTTACTCATGAACCACCACACCCAGGACACCACGGGGTCTGTCGCCTTCAGCTGGTATCCAATGTGTCCACTGCAAGATGTTGGTTGTATCTATGTGAATAAACCGATTGCTGGCGTTGTTCGTAAGCCATACATATTACACAAGTGTTACATTTTCACGGCGATGGATGCTGTCTTTACTGAACGTAGCTTGTGGCAGCATCGCAGGTTCAGTGGTCTGATACTGCTCTGTGAACATCGAAGACGTGGAGCTCCACCAAACCACTCTGAAAGCACCAGTTATTATCTGCTTGCTATTGCTTATTATGTATTCGGTTGTCTTACTCTGCTTGGGCGACATTCCAACTGAATATATTTACCGATTATTTCCCACTGTGGGGGTATATACTGTTTGCTATAGTCTGACTACTTCGCCGCTCGATGCGCAATCTGCTATTGTTTATAGATCCTAACTCCGGTTAGTGATGTTATCTCAATTTCGTTAACCTTATTGACGCGATGCTTTCCTAACAAGAATTATCCACTCAAGACGAACAACAGGAACTCGTTCGTTTGGCATAACACACACGTACAAACCTTTAACAGCCCACAATAGGTTTCCCTCTTCTTGAGGTTCATCAGGTAGACGCAGTCCCCGAGTTCTCGTCAACCTCATGCCCTAGTCGAAACCTGTAGTGAGTTGTGGGAAAGATATGAGCAACCTCACAAGTAGTACGTTGTGCCACTAAAATATAGTTCGATATTTCGAATATCGAAACGTGAGGTTGCATTTGCACAGCACCTTCATTTGAAAAGTACCATAAGAAAAAATTAAGTTTCCAGTTTAATTTTCAAATGCGTCTATTTCGTCAGGAACTTGTTTTCTTGCACTGTGATTTATTTTGTTGATACCGCTGTCTGTCACCGCAGTATTTCAATTTTTCAGGAATTTGGCTCCCCCATCTTTAATTGTTCAAGTTAGCGCGAAAAATAGTTCACACACACATGCTGTCATTATCAGCATAGGTTTTCCTATCATTTCCAGATTGGCTGTCTAAGAATTCTTGTTCAACAACATCCGGATGTTCACGGTAAGCTCAGAAAAATGTTGGATCATCTCCCTGAGCGCGTCCCGGGTTCACTGGTTGGCGTCCGGAGTCAATCGAATGAAACGCACGTGGCAGCACGAGCAACGAACAGGAAAGCTGCTGGTAAGTGGTCATCCCATGATTACCTTCATTATTGTGCTGCATCCTTTCTCGTTGTCAGGATCGAAATCGTACCAAGTCCACGAAAGGCTATTGAGCCGTGCAATATTTTGAACTTGCGGTCCCGTGTCTGAGCTAAGGACACAATTGATTACCATCTGTTTTCGGTATTTTTGAAGTCGTACATTCCACTGTCCTCAACACCGTAGACGACGTCTGACAATCTTGCTGGATGATGCGGCCAAGGCTTGCGCACCATCCCTTTGTCCACATCACTCGGTGTCAGAGTTGTGTGAAAATTCGAAGAACTCACACACTGTCTTGAATGGATACGTGCCTAGATATTTCGTTTTCCACTTGCGATTTTTTCGTAGTTTGATCCCCTTGTTTGCTAGGAACTTACGAGATATACCTGCTTGTCATATTTCTCTTTGTTGTTTAGCTCCCAGCGGCTCTTCTTCAAAGCAGTACGAATTGGTCTGCTTGGACCCATCAAAGGATAGCAATACGTTAGCTCCAAACTCCGGTTTCCCGACTGATTCCTCTCGTACCTCCCCTAAACCCAAACGAAGTGGGTCTACTGGTCGGCTCGCTGTACAGGATAATCGAGTTGATCATCTTCTACGCCAGCAAAACCGATTCGGTTCTTTGGGTCGTGTGAACCAGGCAGTTCAAATGACGCAGATACAATCTGATCCCTATTTGAGCGAGTCCAGACGGGATGACCGTCCCTATGAGACTGTGTTTGTCATGTCACATGGTGATTCCTGCTATCAAATGCAGGACAAAGTTCTGTCGGAGAAACAGTTTTTGAGCTCTTGTGATACGACCGTAACAGATACAGATCCGCTGCATAGTGATACCTCTGAGGTATATACCGAATTGTTTGGAACGAGCGGCACAGCTGAGCATGTAAACGATCCGATACAGGCGAAACGTTCGAATCCCGTGAGTCAAAGTCAAAGTAGTAGTGGTCTCAGTAGATCTAGTGGAGATGTGGGTGAAGCCGACGTACACGAAGATGACGTTGGGGATGCGAATTCGAGGCAAGTTTATTTTCGTTATTTCTCCTATTATTGTGGCTGGATTTTTACTTTTTACCCAGTGCACTTTTCATTTGACGAAATCATTAGGTCGGTCACACGGAAGGGTGGATCAGAGGAACTTCGCTGAAAAACACAACGATAGCCATACGTAGTTGAACAGCAGATGTTAGGTTACGTTATCCTTACTTAGCAGGTCATCATTGCTTGGACAGGATATCTCTAGGATATAACCATGGGCTTTCAACCCCCTGATTACAGTTGTGCAAATCACCGATAGCTGCAGACCTGTGGATCCATTCATGGTTTGCAGCTGAAAGCTTGTCCACGCAGTATGCAACATCCACCTTTCCATCTGTGTGTTCTTCAAAAAGAGTCTATTCGGAAGTTTTCGCATGATTGGGATCGAATGATCCCTGAAAGTGCTCAATAGCGCCATTGTCATCTAGTAGACACTTTATTTCACAGAGACTTTCTCCTGGAGGAGGACGAATCTTTCGCGAGAATATCTTTGCTGTTTATGAAACGCCATCAATAACAGGGTACAAGCAAGCTCAGTTTCCTTTCCATCTGTGTGTTCTTCAAAAAGAGTCTATTCGGAAGTTTTCGCATGATTGGGATCGAATGATCCCTGAAAGTGCTCAATAGCGCCATTGTCATCTAGTAGACACTTTATTTCACAGAGACTTTCTCCTGGAGGAGGACGAATCTTTCGCGAGAATATCTTTGCTGTTTATGAAACGCCATCAATAACAGGGTACAAGCATAGCTCAGTTTCTATGAAACGCCATCAATAACAGGGTACAAGCATAACTCAGTTTCTATTCCATGAGGACACGGATCATGTGGAGACACGGTACTGTTCGCCACTGACTGAGTCAGCTGCTTCGCAGAATTTAATGAAGCAAGCATTGTTCCAATGTCGGAATTCGTATTGGTTCAAAAACACGGTGGAGCGTGAATATTTTGTCAACACTTCTGATCTTAGTCCGGTATGAGACTGGCTTCTCTGAGGTAGTCCAGTGGTAGTGTGGTAGAGGTTTGGTTGTCCATCAGTTTAATGCTCCAATAGCCCTCATGTATCTTTTTTCACCTTGAGGTGTCAGGACTAGAAAAGGGGTTTCCCATTCCAATATAGAAACCGCGGCGTCCGATATAAGGCGAAAATCCTAATTGGAAACTTGAGTACTGCCTGAAAACGGGCTTCTTCGATATCCTGGGATACGCTATTCACCTGGAGACTTCGCTAGTATCATTGGTTCTTCTAATTCGCTTTGGCTAATAGCATCTCTGTCCGTTATAAGGGCATGGAACCCTTATTGTATCCGATAGGCACTTGCTTTTTGGATAGGCATCTGAGTGGCGGTATGAAGTGTTCAGTCCATCTCTTCAGCTTTTCATTGTACTCCGTTGTTGTTGGTTGATCGTGGATGTCTCGAAGATAAATTTGTCGATTTTGCTGTTCGCCAGAAGCGTGGTGGACTAGCCGGAAAAGTTGCGAGTGGTCGTCAACATCTGCAGCTATATCCATACTAAATTCTGTTTAGGTTTCCGTCTAACCTGTTCGATCGATTGTTTTGTCTGGCGACTGAAGTTGGGTAGGTCGAAGGCGTTATCCACATATGCACGGGCAGCTATCTGAGAGAGTCTCAGTCCGTTTTGGGACCCTGTTTTTAGCGTCGCGTGCACAACTGAGATTTTAATGTGGCGACCTGCTGTGTGGATGTTCTCTGATGGGACCAGAAATGTCCAACGGAAATTGCTTGGGCTCGAGGAGACAATAAAATTCAGTTGACTGTTGATTGCTCGCGAGACTTGTGAATGCCTTTCTGCTTCATTAAAGTGGGTGACCTTGGTTCATCCTTTGGATCTTGGTTTGTGCTAGACGGTGGAGCAAGATTTGACCCTTAAGCTTACAGGAGTGTGAGCTGAATAGCATTTATTTCAGATTTCAGCTCCATGGTATGACCCGCAGTCTTGACCAGACGATACCCGCCGGAATGTTACTAGCATGTAGTTTTCGTTTGAATTACGGGTGAGTAGGTGTCTCCTCAGGTGCTAAGAATGTGTTAAGCATCATGGGTCGAATCAATCGCTGTTTTCACAGTGTCATTCCAATTCAGACCTTTCAATGCTGTGACGAATGACACCAGTTCTTGTGTTCCGGTCACTGGTACTTACCAATAAATCGCGTTTGGGCGCGCGGTTGACGTTGTTCTGATAGTTCATCTTCGAAATCGTCTTTGAGCAAAACTTTCGACGCTGAGAGCCTTTGAAATGAGCTGTTGCAATCCTGATGATAGTGGCCGTGAGGAGCTGTTAGAGCACATGAGGCTCGAGTTACAACTTGGGCTGCTGTGGTACGATCAGCAGGAAGATTGATGTTTTGATGAGTCATGTACCAAAACCGAAAATCTGTGATTTCCAAAGACATACAGTGCCAAAGAAATTTCGCCTAGGGCTACTTTGGCTTCCGATGTTAAGTAGAAAACGAACGTTCCAGTATCTTGTATACAGTGGATTGATTTCGACGGAGAAGGCCCTTAATGTGTATTTGTCACCGCCTCGACTGAGCCAACCTCCGGGATGCTGTGACCGGAACCAGACATGATCATGAAGTAACCTTAGAATTTGTGTATGAGTGCGGCACGGGTTTTGTTTGGGTTACGCCTCTAGCTACTGCACAGCTCAGTGCACAGTCCGAGGTAGTGCAAAGAAGTTTGTGAACAACAAAATCTTCAGAAGGGGCGCTGGATCCTATCCGCTTATTCCGTCAGATGTGATGTTTCTTAGTTCGTTTATATGGGAACCCAGCGGGTTCCAAGGATCCGGTTGACCGTTCCACGGCTGTAGGCTAGTTCCGCAGGACCAAGCAATGACATGTGAAACCTTTTGTGGCCTGTTTCATGGAGTCGCCATTGAGTCCATTTGTTGTTTGATAGGAGAATCGATTATATTAATCTAGGACGCACTACCCCTGGTGACTTTACAGCCAAAGCCCCTGTGCTTGCAACAGTTATCACACCATGATCACCTTGTCGTGTCACGATGAAGGGAGATGTGGGCTTTGCGGTGATTTTCGACGGATAATGTTGATCAGAGTAACTGGTCACCACAGTTTCTACCTGCAGCCTGTTTGTCACCATATAGGCGTGTTTCGAAAGGTGATGTTAAGCGGAAATCAATCATGCTTGAGTATTGAACTGATATTTTGAGCTTCTCGATGTTGATTAAGGAAAGCATAAGAGGAAGGATTCGGCACGGAATCTAATGCTAATCTAATCTGATGCTAGTCGTTTCTTGTCGAGTTCCTAATTCGTTCGTTGTTACATGCTTGCCTGTAAGACGCTACGACAACTGTCACTTATCGTTTTACTACTTGCATTCCGGTTACGCACTAACCCGTTAACTTTACTATTGGCATGGCCAATTTGTATGATGATTACTTTGAATTCTGGCGGTCAGGGTTGAATACTATCACACGACTCCTTGGTGTCCTCTTTCGAATTTGTTTAGAATGCCAGGCGCATCTTGTGTTTAGCTAAGATTTTGTTTTATTTGCTCCTCCCCTTTCCCAGTCCTCGACATGGGTTTCTTTACGATCGACTTCTTGACTCATCAGAATGCAATTTACTGGACAACAGTTTCACTGGAGATGGTGGGCTGGACGTTCTCAATACGACGAATGAAGAGGAACTATTGGGGGGAGAAGATCGTTCCAACGACCGATCATCGGATGTCTCCGAACGCAGTGGCTGCACCAGTTTGGCTAGCAGCGCTCACGCGCTTGGACGACGTATGCAGCACAACACTGTTCTTGCTGATTGTAGCCTCACGTCGGATGACTTAGTTGAGGTACCTGAAGCACGTGCTTCTCAGAGAGTCTTCAATACGGTAGAGCCACCCGACTGTTCGAGCACCGGGCGAACAAGGCATTCAGGTCAGCCATCATCTGTGGAAGCGGTGGAGAAACGTACTCGGTTTTCTATCTCGGAATTTTCCCGAGCCAACGGTAAGAAGATTCATCATGTTGACAGTCAAGGTTTTTTCCCTATTAGAACTTACATGATCCTGCTCCTGAGAATGCCTGCTTGATATCCTGTGGACAATAGAGGCTTGCATGATTACTCACAAACACATTGAGAGTTTGATGCCATTAAGCTTTTCCAAAGCCCACAGGTTTGTGAAGCAGACGGGGGTTTTCTGATAAGCAAGTTTGTTTGTTTGGGCCTGAATTTGTCTAGTTTCCTCTTTAGAACTATAAGAGTCTAGTCAGTCGTCCTGGGATTGACGCAGAGTTCTTAGTTGTTCCTCTCCTCAACAGTATGTTCAAGAGTAAGCTCATAGAACCGAACGGGATGTGAGGTGGAAGTATGCATTTAAACTGAGGTGTGGAGTTTTTAGCAAGATGCTTCTTAGAAAAGATGGTGTCAACGTCAAGAAATACAAAACAGGGGAGTCTCTGGCGTTGCACAACTACAACCTATCGGTTAAACAGTCGGTCGGGTCGCCTTACTCTCTGCATGAAGTAGGGCTGATTGACGTGCCTATGCTGCCACTACTGCTACCCTCCCTAGTCTGGCATGTACCTCTTCATGTACACAGCCTTCTTCAATGGGACTGATCCTCACCATGAGGTACAACGTTTGGGCAGAAGCGGTTGGCACCAGCGTTCAACGTTTCAACTTACTCCTCTTTGGGTGCAATTACTTCCTCGAATCTGAGTCACGTCAACTGACTGTCATCGCAGCAAAATTCGTTAATTAAATGAGGATGCAGCTATCCGGCGCCTTTCGTTGACTATGGACCTGTTCTACCTGTATTATAGCCTGTCAGTCGAAAGAATCACCTTGTGAATGAATCTCCACCGATTTGCCTGTGAAATCACATTTCCAACGAAACGCTGGTTGCTCTGCATGCTTGCGCTTCCACCGCTATGGACGTGGCGTTCTGAGCCGTAGTTTTGGCAACCTGACACTATATCAGTCCTTGTGCTTCCTTCGGGTGACATGGCAGCTATTCACCAAAAGGGGTATCGCAGCTGACCAATTACCATTTGTGTATTATTACTTGCAGACAACGATCCTTCGTTTGGTTCGCCCGAGAATGATGACTGCTTCATTTCTATATATTTTTAATCGTTCGTATCGAGCTTCACAGTAGTGTCAGCCAAAACTCAGTTGTAGTTAAATATTGGTGTTCGTCGTTCGTAACACGACCTCCCTAGATAGTCTTAGCGTAAAGCAAGACAGGCTGAAATCGATTGCACTTATAAATGGTACACATTGTTAATGCAGTATGTATTGGTTCTTTCCAGCAATCAGTTGGGCCACGCAAAACCACAAAAGTCGGATTGTTCCAGTGGAGTTTTCTCAATAAGTGCGCTACTATGAATACAATAATAAAATGATAAAATTGCACAGACCTCAAATCGTGCGCCGGCTTCCGTAGACCTTTTTAGAAACTGCTAATTCCAGACGGGATCCCAAAGTTCACACTAACTTGAGGCAAGGTGGCCACAAGATAGCGAAGCCCACATGTTGATTTAAACAGCGCGATAACAAGTTCAAAGGGCAGTTTACGTTCAGGACAAAAACAAGAAAGGTAGTGTATACGCAAAACCGAAAAAACAAAAAAAGGAAGTCGCGTTGTACTCAACAAGAATAGAGGAAAAGAATTAACACTACGTGACCTCGAAACGACGCACAATGTCACTTCTGAACATTAGTAGTCTTTGTTCGCAGTGTCATTCGATTTGGATGAATGCTCCGCTTGTCGCAAAACCAACAGACAAAGAACAGGACTATTTGTCAGCCCAGTTTGGATTTGTCCTGTCTTTTCTTCTGGCTGCTTTCTACTCCGCCGCGTTCGGCAGAGTACGTATTACTTTTCCTTAAGTTCGCATACCCATAGACTGGAAAAACTGCACGCGAAGCGCTCCCTTAGGCAGTTTTATCTATCATCACAAAGTTGTCATCGCGGATGCGGATGTTTTCCACTTTCCTAATGAGCAGTATACCAGGGCACTTCCAACTGAACCAAAAATCTCGTTTCTTCTTACATTTATACTCAGAAAGTAAGAAATTCCCAATGTCAGATGTGGCGCTTGACCATGCGCCTACTATTTGACAGCAGGCATGGAGCTAGCGGACAGTTTTGCGTATCTCACAAACCGTATCCTCTGTCTTTGAACGTCATGGTTCACATGCGTTTAGGATTTTTAGGGCTCGGTTTTTATTTCTTCCGACACGTGACATCGCACTGACGTTTGATGGATAGTTTTTCACACAAAGAGGGGAAGCACTCCGCCAGCACAACCACACAGTAGTGTGTGACCACGTGCCTTTTGCTTGAAGAATGTTCGCACGGTACAGCCATGGGCACTTAAGTAGTCTTGTGCAATGTTGTCTGTTCGTCACCATAAACTGTCTATCCTACCTCGGCAATAATAACACAATGTGCCAGTTTGCCTCATTCATCTCCCAACTTTGGTTTGCCTCACTTAAGTTCGAGATTACCAGTGCCAGATATTATATTCATAAGTTCTGAAGAAATCAGTGCATGGTCCTCTTCACACGTTTTTTCACTGTTTGGAAGCTGCTTAGTCTAAAAAATATGGGTTCGCTTCCGGATTTGGAATCGCTTGGCTCTTTTACAAGTGCGAAGGCCGACGTTGCTTATATGGGTTCTCGTTTCGGCTCCAATGATTTCTATGCTTGCTCGCCCCGGACGAAGCCACTTGAACGAGCCGGCCGAAACGACTATCTTCCCCTTATGAGAGGCACTCGCCACTGAGTGTTTCTCCATGGGCAGGGTGAGATGAAAGCGGCTGGTATCAGACTTGGTGTTGTGGGATCTTCGCGCCTTTCTGACTGAGACTCTCGTGATCCCGCTTGCAGGTGGTTAGAAACTGCAGTACATGACACGCAACCTACCCTGGTGGCTCACCTGCTATCATTTCCTACCCGGACTGCCTAATTGAAGTTCGCCTGTTGTTGTGCGCTTGACTTAGGTTGGGTGAGGTTCGTAAAATACTCTGGGTTGATCCCGCTGATGTTGCCTTACTGGTGCTCAGATTTACTTAGTGCTGTGTGAAGGAGCAGGCACCTTACTTTTGATCGTTTCCCTTAAAGACAAAGGGATTCTTCGTACTGATTTTCTACCTTAACCCCTTTTTGACTCTTTACTAAGACTTTCTCTACTTGTGGTTGTGTGGCATTCAAGCACTGGCATGTATCACTGGTGTATTGTTGTCAATGATGACGGTGATGATGATGTTGATGTTTCAATGTGCCGACGAAAAGTGATTTACTGATGGTGTAAAGAGATTTAGAAATGGAAGTCGAGCTTTCGCCCTTAAAACCAGTTTATGCTGAAAGTCCGAGTAGCACTGTACGGCTGAAATCATCATCAGTGCGCAGCTCACGAATCTCCACGGTGATTTGAACTAGCAGACTAAACGCGGCTCAGAAGAATAATAGTTCGCACTATGATTGGACCACCTTCCATCTGAGAAGTTGTCACTCGAGGAGCCAGTGATTGCGTGACCGCGTGACGCGAATCATGTTATTGACAAATGACTGGCGCCGAATCCTGTCTAAGTGCGAGTTAATCGCAATTCTGATCAATCTTTCTTGACCGAATGGTTTAGTCTTCAACCACCAGCTGGGAGGTTGCGACTTCTATGCCTCTTGGTTTTTTTGGCCCGGATCGGCTTCACTTACAGGACGAAATGTCAATTGAAACGTCCTATGTTCTGAGGAATTCTCTCTCTCTCTCTCTCCAGATGGGGATATAGGTGTGCCTCGAATTGATTGATTCTTGTTACAACTAACTCTTGAGTATCGTATGGTATCAAGAGGCAGTCTATGGTACTTTGATGAACCAGGTATCACAGTGGTCTCTCACGGATATTTTTTGGAATCCGGTGAACTATTTTCCTTGTGCTAGTCACATATTTTGTTGTCTTCTCATACGCAAATGACCTCTTGATTTTAGCTCTGGGGTGGATTCTGTACCCCGTTGCTTATAGGCTCTCCGAAACTATCGACTCCAGGCTCTTTGGGTTTTTGAAAATTAATAAAACAAACACTCCTTCAGTACCGAACTGTTTTGCAGTTTGAAAGAGGCACTGATTTAAACTTCCTCAGTGTAAGTAGCCCTAGATAGAAACACGTGAGGTATCAAGGGATGGACTCGAACTGCAGAACTCTTGGTCAGAAGTTTACTTGTCAATCCCTTGAAGATCCAAGGTACAGTGTAATTTCAAACTCATTTTTCTGACTTGAGATTTAATCTAAAAGCGAAGACCAACACGTGTAATCAGGTGGGTCGACTGATTCAGCATCAACTCGGCATTTCAGCAGAACAATCGACGATGTAATCGGGCAAAAGCGAATACTGAACAAGGAACTTCATATTTACATTTCTCTCAAAGCCCTGGGAAATGAGCTTTCGTCGTGCTACGTTTGTTCTGCGAATTTTCGTCAGTGCACCGGTAGACGCATACTACCTGGGATAAGCACTGAGTCACACGCAGTCGGGTCTAAAATCAACAAATCCAACATGACCCCGATGGTGGCACGAGTCTGCGAATATCAGAAAGTTGAACCTCACACATGTAATCATGCGTTCCTAACACAAAATATGATAATGAAGGTAGTTTGTCCTGTCTCACTCCTTTTATTTAGGGTAGTGGTAACCCATGAATCAGGTTGGGATCGCGTAGCTTTGTCGCATTGTATATCCACTTCAGTGCCGTCGCTGGACGTTATCTTACTATTTTCATTGAAGAGAAGCTCTGCTAGATCGGCTCCTTAGATGCAGTTTCAAGCTTTAGCGTGTGTTCTAATAAAACGTGAAGGATACCCGTTTTGTTCCAAGACCTTTGTGAGTCTTCCATTATCTATAACTTCTGGTTCTTTAACTTCTACCTGGACCATAATTCATCCTTCGAGGACCGGGACTCTCCGCCAGAAAGTCCAGTCTCTGCTTGGGCGTTTTATGTGGATTTCGCAGTGGTTTAAAAAAAATAATTTAAGACAGTCCCTTCAATCAAACTCTGCTCAACCTTTGGAGCAGTTCCTGTGTCTTACCCCATTTGACTCCGACAAGGATACAGAGGGAATACGAAGGGTTCTAAGCCAATGTGGGGAAGGGATACGCGACTGCGCGTTGGAAAAGCCAGTCGACTTAGTGACAACATTGTATTGTTGCCACGACGCTTATCATTATTATTACTACTGTTACTAGCGTCGTGGGTATGATGACGGTCATACTTTCTGGCCTCCCGGGTTTGTGCATTAAGTTCCTGCATGCTCGCAGCTGAGACATTATGATTTCTACACTGACTAATCGAGTTCATCTCCGAAATTTCGACTTTCCTGGTCTATCACAGTCATTTGTTTGCCACACTTGGAATTACTCACACGGTTGAATAACATTGAGTATTTTAATGACAGTTGAAAACTGCTGAGTGGTGGACTACTGAGATGGATCCTGGTAGGCACATTTACGTAGTACTGGAGCAAAGTACCGTAAAAAGAAAAAACAACAATTCATCCCATCTCCGTACCGTTAAATCTAAGAATCATGTGAAGAAACTAGTTCTTTTGTGCGAGTTAATGGTGCTGTTGGTACGGCGTAATGTTTTGTACAGCCCATAGTATGTGGTCACAAAGCATAAACATACTGGGATACTAGATATGGAGCCGAAACGTATAGCAGACGTTCCAGCAAGCTGTCTAACGATTTTCCAAAGTCTGTACCATGCAATGGTTGCTGTTGCGTAGTCAGGTGTGTCGGTAGTAGATAGACTTTGTAATTTTTTCTCACATGCTCCAGTTTTGCACTCCTCTCCAAAGTATGCCGAACTGGAACCACTCATTTGCATATTAGCAAAAAAATTTGTGACGTCAGCGTTTGTGTAGTTTCTCAGTTCGGGGGCCTGTAGACACAGATTTGGCGTGCACTTTTAGGTATTTAATCTTGCTACCCTCTACTAAGCAGGACAATAGTGGCTTCTCTCAAAGATAATTGGAAAAACAAGCAGACAACATAAAGGAAACTACTCACAAGGTTGCTGAAAACTCTTCGACAGCTCATGACCGGTTTCGCTCGTCAGGTAGGCGTAGTCCCCGAGTTTCCGTCAACATTATGTTCTACTTGAACCCAAATTAGACTGTTTCCGAGAAATAGACTCATTCAGTTGTAGAATATCATAAACGAGAGATTTAATCGAGTTTCTCGTGAAAACAAAGTTGATTTGCAAAGCAGACAACAGCTTTACTTAGCGATACAACTCAGGTCAATGATTCGTAGTTTTTAGCTAGACCGGGGTTCCGTCGAACCAACATATGCATGCAGAGAAAGTGGGTTTAAATCTCCGACTACGAGTTCTGTGGCTATCGGACACACATTACAGTATTGCAGCCAGTGTTTCTGGACAAGGTGTGAGTGGTTTCTGAAATTCCACCCCATGCTCGATCCCACCCTTAATGAAATGGCAAATGATTGACCACTAGGAAATTCATACCTCAAAGTTGCCTGACAGGTTTCGTGTTACTTGAGTTTTACACCGCTTCTCAGTGCCTCAAGTTAATTTTAACCTGAGACCTGTTTTCGAATGGATAAATTCGGTTTGAACATGCCTCATTAGTCATTCGGACAACACTCTGTTTATCCAGTCCTCAAAAATGCCACATTAATGATTCAGTCAGGCAGCCTCCACAATCCGTGTGTCAGCAAACATATCTCAGCTGGTTGTTTTTGGTGCACGTGAATCGGTTGGTGTTTCTATGAGGACAGATCATAGTGCTTATTTTATCTCACGGCGACATCCCATACTGTCATTTCCAACCAAAGGTGCAGTGAATCGGCTGGAGTGTTTGATTTTCTCCGCTTTACTCGTTCACTATCCTAATTTCCTTCTCAAGTTGCACGAACAGTACCAATGAACACATCCTATATAATGAAGCTTTTCCACAGATCTACAAACTTTCTTCTCAGCTTATGCATTGCACATGCGTTTCCATTTTTCACTCGTGATTTATACTCCACGCGAAAGCCTTTTCATGATGGTTACGTGACTGCTAACAGCAGATGCTGGAACCGTATTATATTAGAAGTGCTCCCTTCGCGTACAGTGCTCGCGCTCAAATCTAGAATATACTCCTTTTGTTTTTCTGCGTCAGCTGACTCTCAAACGAGGATGGGCTACCTCTACACAGAACTGAATAGGGCTTCCATTTATGGAAGCACTCACTTGTGTCTTGCATATCCAAGGTAGAAGGGTTTTACGGTATCCCAGTCGGAAGTTTCTACAACAGAGGTCGTATCTCCTTTCATCGTTGTCTTAGCTGTTTGATGCTTGATCTAATCTCTGTTGTTGTCTTCGCATGCCGTAACACGTCATCAACAGATGTGGGTTGTTGAGTTACTCGCTCCATTCATCTGGTTCAACCTGCTTGTGGAAGCAAAGTGCGGGGGCCTGACTGCTGCTGAATACAAACGACTACAGTGTTACTACACCACCACCGTCACTGCCACAACTGGCACTATCACCAATACCACGAGAGAGAAAAAGGTGTTTTCCCCTCCCCCTGAATGTAGCTGCTCTCCTGAGGATCGCGCACCGAGTCGTGACCGTACGGGCAATGCTGTTGTGTACGCCAAAATTAGAGTAATCTTTTTTCGAAGGGGCCTCAGGTGTGAGGCAGTTTTTCGGCTGACAGGTTGTGATAACTACTTCATAATACCACGACATTCTCATGAGCCATAGATGTTCCCTCTTTGTTAAACGGAATGAAACTTGTCAGCTTCGTTGCGGTAGCCAGTGTCATTTCGAACCAAATGCAAGTCGCGATTTTTTCTACTCTAGACTCGTATGGTCCCCGTCAAGAAACCCAACGTGCGCCTGGACGTCGATCGGTCCAAAGATCATCGTTCGGTGCGACTGAACGGGACCACAAACCAAATGGTTGCAATAGTTTACGAGCTCGTCTTGTTCGCACCACGTCGGCAGAGCTGTTGTTGCGTCATGATGTTTCACGGAGACTCTCGCCCATAGCTGCGATCGGCTTGCCGGCTGCTGGTCCATCCTCGGATTCTCACCAACCAAATCCGTCAAACCCAAAACGTTCGTCCTCTCTGAACAACTTGCAGAGCGCCTCTGAGTTTCGTGTGCGATCGACTGAGATGCAAGAGACTCAGGATGGTAACGATTCCCTGCCAACACCTGGTGTGTTTTGTTCCGTTTTTCTTTGTCTTGTGTACACCTCAACGTCTTAGCTGTTCAACTGGGCCACCACTGGCCCATCAAACACAAATAAGCACTATCCTTGTGAATATAGTATTATTCCCTATGTTCAAAATCGACTGCCTTTTACACTTTTTCCGGTCTAGTTGGGCCCGAGGTTAAAGTAAGAGTAACACTTTCGCTGTCGATGCAGGAACTGTTTGCGTAATACAAATTTGTGATCATGTTTTCCTACGTCCAATAGTTACGATATTTACGTCCACCGCGGAAAAAGGGCTATTCAGCTTGCTGTTTGTGATATTTATTGTTTCGAGGAAGAAGATTGCTTATCAAGTCGTGCCAGACGGGCAGTGGTTTCTTTTTTGAGGAGTCTTTTCTAGGGTATTGCGGTGTGTGAAAGTGTATGCTACCTCATCGGTTGAGTTAGCTCTCTGAGGAATGTCGTTGGTTTCGTGGGGGATTCATCGATTGTTTCGTTTTAGAAGAAGAACTTGATAAAACTTTTCACTTCATCATAGGAGCGAGGTGGCCCAAGTGGTTAGAGCGCGAACTTACCGACAGAAAGGTCCGTGGTTCGAAGCAGATCTCTGCCTCTCGACTTCCCCTGTCCAGGCTTAGGCAAGCTGACCGTACCCCGGCTCTCATACTTCCTTTAGGTGGCATGGCAGCTAGGTACCGAAAGGGTGTTACAGCTGAATGATTATCTTTTTCAGGGATAGCGTGACAACGTAGATTTCTGACTGGGTCTTTCCTACTTTGTATGTAAGCCTACGCTACTACGTATACTCTTGTTTTCACTGTATCGGTAGATACGCAAGAAGCGGATGAACGATCCAGTGTGCGAACATGTTCATCATGCGGCATACACATTACTGGAGGGGAAGCACTTTCAAGAACGACTGACGCCCCCCGGGTACCTCTGGACGATGGCAATTTGAATGGTCGACTGGATGAGGATGATGCACTGTCCGATCTTCCACTATCGTCAGCTAATGTGTCCGGCCGGGTGACTCCACTATCCCTCGCCAGCAGTGCCTCCCGTGCCACTTCCGGAGTGGTTGTTCCCCATATAATGGACCATCCTAACAATTCACGTGGTCATGCTTACAGCCGAAGTGGATTTGTGCTCCCTACTCCACCTGTCACTTTGTCCACATCGGGTGGGGTTGGCGGTAGTGTTGGAACAGCACGGTGTTGTCTAATTGATTTTCCACCCACTATATTGCAGAGAAATATGTCTTCCGATGTTACGGACAAGTTTGGAAAGTTTGACCTGCCTCCTGTGCGGATCGCGGAATGTGAGTTATTGTTACCCGTAACGCTTTTGGAGTCCTGCATCTACTTGATGTATTCGTTGATCGTTGCGAGGCTAACATGAGACTGCTCTCGTGTGCATAATTGATACGGTGATTAGTTTTCCGAGATCATAAACACATATTACTTGGCTGTCTATCCATGGTCTTTTCTAATTGGTGATAGTAATAGCCTGTGTTAAAATCTGCTTTACCGTTTTCAACTCTGTATATTTTCTAAGTCCCGTTTATCTCTTTGCACACATTTCTAGCCGAGGCGCGATCGACTGTCAGTGACACCTGGTCCACAGATGTACTACCTTCGGACACGGAGTATCCTGATATTGGTCCTGATTTATTAGGTTCAGATATTCCCAGTGGAAGACCGAGTCATCATCATCATTATCATCATCATCATCGTCACCATTATCATCGTCACCATCACCATCGTAACCATCACGACACAGACAACTGCAACCAGCCTGCTGGTCATGTTGCACATCCCAGTCTGACAGGAGCCGGATCCATTAGGCCAGTTGCTGACCCGCGATCAGGTTCTGCCAGATTGCCTCTGGACGACGTCGAATCGCATTCTCAACCTAATCAATCTTCTCCCAATTCGCAACCAACTTCGACTCATGTGGAGTTCAGCCGACGCGAACAAAGCCCAGATCCAGACACAACTGCATCTCAACGACAAAATTCCATTCGAAAGGTTGCGCGAATTCCCAACGGATCTGTTGTTCAGTTGGATGTTAGACGGAGGCTTAAAGTAGGTTTTTGTCCACTGCTGTTTCTGACATTTACTCTCTGACCGTCACGAATTTCATTCCTAATTGGTCGGTTCGAGAGGGAATTTTCTGTTATTGGCTGAGATGACTAACTGTGTTGATGTCCATAGTGGGAGGAATCAGCACGCGATGTTCTTGTGAGTACCATCTGTGAGACGATAGTGTTTCTATGCCTATTCCTTGACCCATACTCTATGACCATTGTCATTCTTATTCGAAGGGACCGTGTAGAAGCACATGATAGGGGCCGGTGTTAAGCCCCCGAATATCATTTTATTGATCTGGGTCTGTTTTTCACACGGAACGACCACGACTGGATTAAAAAATCACGATAAAACGTCCTTCTGCATAACATCCGGCTTGTCAGAGGCTTGAAAACTAGGAAAGCTTATGATGCTTGGAGATCCCACGGGATCCCATGGGATCGTCATCCACTGCTGAATGATATAACTCACCATGTTCCCCGTATTGCTTTTTGGTGGTTGATAATCTAATCTCTATTGACATGGGATCCCCATTCTAGTCTCACAAGAACCGGAGCAGGATTTTTTAAAAGACTGACGTGAATTTAATCCAGCCACCTATTGCAACCACTTACAGGGATGTGTACATGCCTATCAGAAGAGAAACCATCAGGCTGCAACTTCTAGACTTTCATTTCTTCCTGGGAACGACCGAATGAGCGGAGGATCACATGGTTGCTGAGGCTAACTGGGTTTTAATTGTTGGCAGTGAAAAGATCGCAGTGATGCATAACTGTTGTGATAGCATTGAGACATCGACTTCTACATATTTACTATCTCTGCTCTCTATTGTTTCGTAATTAGTCCTGAACGGACGAACAATTTGCTTGTGTCTCTGCCCCACCTGGTCCTTCTTTATGGCAACATTCCTGGAGAAAGGTAATCCAACTCACACGATATCCCGAACGGCTACTTTCCATCAGTTACAATATCCAAACAAAGTTTTCCCTCGTTTTTGTTCTATTCTGTGAACACTTTGGAGTCACAATCCGAGGGTAGGATTCTTGTAAAACACCTTACCTATATATTCTATTATCTTACGGTTTGATATTGCCATAACGTTTGCACTGTTTTTAGCCTTCTGAGACCCGTGTGTATACGACACACCCCAGCACAACGGCCCCAACGCTCAGCGTTCCGCGTGGGGATAACTGCTCTACCCAATCTGTCCGTTCACTGCAGTCTTGTCCAGCCAGGAACGCAACGTGTGATACACCTGCTGGTGACGTTATGTCTACATCAAGCTCCTCAACGCGCCTAGCCGGTGTACAGCTCATCAAAGATGGATGCTCCAGACTGAAAAGTTAGCCATCTCCCAGTTCATTTTAAATTCAAACTACAAAACACATCCTGAGGACCCTTCATCGGTTTGCTGCTCGTTGTTTACTTTTACAAACGGTGTTTGGCAGGAGAATTTCACAAGCAGACAGTGCTTGTTCATGACAGAGTCCAATAGTTCCAACCGAAGAACTGCTTTTAAACACTGCATGTGGATCTTAATTTTCATTAGTCTTGGACTACACGGTACACCCAAATCAGGATGTTGACTTTGGCTTGTGGGGTTCAGATCAAGGTGCCGAGAGTTCTCTTCACCACAACAGATGTGCTCAAACTTTCTTGTGACTATGTCTGTTACGGGAACAAATTTGTTAATAGGCAACGTAGTCAGCAATTGTGCCTTCTACAATTCACAGAAAAGCATCATAACCTGTAAACATTTCTGACTATCTTGCAAGAGTTGTGTTATCTGTACTTTGGTACAGCGAACGAAATCAATGCTGGACTTATCTTTTTTACGGTTAAACCCGATCGGGTCAGCAAACAGTGACAACTGAGTGAGGTTACATTTGTATTTATATTGTTATATGGGTGTGGTATCTCGCTCGGCTTAATGTTGCCTAACAAACAAAACAGTTGTCCACCATACAGAGAGGGTTCAGCACCATAAGCCATGGTGGCTAGCTTGTGTTGTAAGTCTAAACGTGACACCTCCCTTAGCCTATTGGAAAAGTATATGGTTGTCGTATTGTCTCTTCTTACAGAAAAGAACTTCGTTCACTCCTGTCATTTCTCCCTTTACAGGTAAGGTGGTACTGCGCTCGCGTTTTTCTCTCAAGCAGAGTGTAAATCCTACCAACAGTCCACGATCAATGTTCCACTGGAATCCGGACAGCAAGCAAGCAACTGACAGTACGAAACGAATGGAAGAAACAGCGATACCAACTCAACCGGAGTCGGTAAGCATGTCTTGCCACAAGTGCAATATATATCCTGCCAAGTACCGGCTTCCTCGTTGTTCGTTTCCATTGGTTGGTTGGATTGACCAGTAATGTTCTAATTGGGGACACAAAGATGGAAGAAGATTAGTTGAGCCCTCCCTGAGGGCTGACTCCTTTTTAGAGGGACCCCACATTAGGTCATAACTGAGAGGAATGCTGATTTAAATGCTCCTCAGTCTTCCCAGTGGGGTTGTTACAGCAAAGAAACAAAGAACCTTACTGTGCTTGTGACTGGTTTAAGAACAATATGATCGTCTCCTCGCTTCGGGTTTCGCACCTACTATAAGCAGGATAAGAGACAGGATTTGATTTACGGGCGGTAGGTTAAGATTCTGTGAGAAGGCAGACTTTCTCATCTATGGACTGTAGATCATGGATCTAACCATTCTTCTGGTTGTCAAAAACGCCCTCTGAATTCCACATTCAACCGTCCCCTAACCACAACAACTGACTGTTCACTCCTATTCCAATCGAATTACAGAATATCGGCACAAGACCAGTGGCTGATGCCGAAGCAGCAACGACGTCACAATCTGTGCCGGAAATTGCACCACTTTCCAGTTCACTTGCCTCGCTGTCCTCACATGCAACCAATTCTTCGTCTGCATCTTCCTCCGCACACAGCTGAACATCGACCACTTGCCTCGCTGTCCTCACATGCAACCAATTCTTCGTCTGCATCTTCCTCCGCACACAGCTTGAACATCGACCCGGATGATTTCACGACCCATGTGGCTCCGGATTCCAATGCGACTACACTGATTGTTAGGGGAGGTAGGTATTGATTTTAAACCTTTTTGTGACCACCATTTCGTTTCACACTGTGATCTTGGTCTATCTGTACAAAGCTCATATTCTGTTCGTGCAGGATTGATGAGTTGGTCGCTGATCTGTTCGCCGAGTTTGGTTGCTTGCAAGCGTTTCGTTTCTAGTCGAGGGGACACTGTCACTGTGTAGTTGAGTGGGTCAACGGCCACCTAATCAGTCACCAGTAAGATCACCCGGGCTACCAATATTTCGAGGCAAAATGAGATCCAGCAGCATCGGTATGGTCGCTTCAGTCGTGTCCAATCCACCTGCATAACTATGTTTGCTAGACACTTCGACCTCCAATGGCACCTGCTTTAACGACTGTTCGTTGTTTCTATTACGCTTGTTTCACTGGGAACGAAACTTCAATCCCTGGATCGCTTGAAGCCGCTGTTGAACATCTGCAATGTGTGTACCTTTACTTGAATCGCATTCTTCTTGCCTGTTCCTTTGTTAGTTTACATAAACCGTATGTAGGAAGAGGATAACCACTCTCGGGGCATATGCAGTTTTCTAGCTCTGATCAGCCATGAGGTAGAATTTTCTCCACTCGTTGGACTCACTTCATTCTTTTCTGAGGATGTTTTTAGGGTTGATCATTTAGATGCCCCATAAGTTTACTACGACAGCTGTTGTGTTGCAAATGGTGGATGGCTCACTTGCCGTCCGTCGAAGTACTTTCTCCCTCTGTCGATCATTTTTCGTCTTGTTTTCGATGTTCTTCTCGGGATTACCCTCTATGAAATCAACAGCTACATTTTTAATGGATGTGAGTCACTGATTGGCAGTGACATCTTTCAGTTTTTCACCATAATAAGTGTTGACTGTAAACCTATCCCACAATTCAACTTTAGTGCTGAGCGTCGTATCTCCGACGATTGCAGTGTCCGCAGGGGGATCAGCTTGACCCCGGTTGGCGCCAATTGTGCTTCGTCGCCTTACGGTGGTTCGTGAGATACTGACTCGAGAACAGCAAGCGGGATTCCGGCCTGGTAGGGGTTGTGTTGACCAAATCTTCACACTGCGTCAGGTGCTAACACAACGTCATACGTATAAGCGACCCACAATTCTAGTATTCCTGGATTTCCGAGGCGCATTCGACTCGGTTGATCGGTCTGTTCTTCTTGAGACGCTTGCCCACCAAGGAATGCCCCGGAAGTTTGTAAACATCATACGTTCTTTGTATTCTCAAACTTCTGGATGAGTGTACGGAGAGCTCTCCAAAAGCTTCCGTACACAAAGCGGTGTCCGTCAGGGATGCCCACTCACTCCATTCCTTTTTAAATTAGTGGTCGATGAAATAATGAGACGAACGCTGCAAGGTCTCCAAAACCCTGGTGTTCAAATAGCCTGTGAAGAAAACCTTGTCGATCTGGAATATGCAGACGACATCGTTCTCATGTTCGAAGAGGAGGAAAAGGCGCAAGTATTTTTGGATGGACTGACCGAGGTCACCCCGTCCTTTGGTATGCATTTTGCACCCACAAAGTGTAAGGTCATGCTTGTAGACGTACAGTCACTGAACACGCCCCTTACAATCCAGGGAGAGGTACTGGAAGTTGTGGAGCGTTTTACATACCTTGGAAGTTGTATTAGTTCTGATTGCAGTGTGACAGATGAGGTGAATGCACGAATCTGCAAGGATCGGGCCGCGTTTGCTAACTTGAGACACCTATGGCGTCAGAATGGTTTATCCCTGAATCTGAAAGGACGTGTGTATCAAGCTACAGTACGGGCTGTTTCGTTGTATGGCTGTGAG